TACAATATTTACATTAAAGAAACCTTTAAATAAAAATTACGTTTAAGATACAAAATAAAAATTACGTTTAAGATACAAAATAAACATTAGTTGCAAAAACTGCAAGAGGATAGAGACAGAGAGAGTTAAAAAATCATATATTTTCAAGAAAAATAAAGTTGCTATAAGATAAAGTCTTGGAGAGAGTAAAAAGCAGATTTAATTAGATATTCTAACAAGTAATTTTAACAACCTTTTATGGTTTCTCTCTGATTTAATATTTTGAGGGAGGTTATGAAAACATATATTGCCCATGTAAGTGGTTTTCTTTAAAAAAATTCCAATTCAAGTTCCTCATCATGTATACCGTATTCCTGCCATAGTTAGTCAAACAATATTTTTATTACAGCTATGGATGTATTACTGTATAGTAATATTTTTGGTAATAGACGATATTTTGTGAACGGTCGATAGGATTAAATTAACTAGACTAGACTTGTGACATATTTCCTAATTTTTATCTAACAGCCAACATTACTATCAACTCTTTCGTACATTCGTTCAAGGAATACAATTGAAAACAACAAGAATCGGATACAAATATTAGTACAACAAAGTAACATAATTATAACCCAAAACAAAACAAGACGCACCAAGCTTTCTGACTAAGAAGTAATTATGTTCATAATCTAATCAGTTAAGATAAAAAATTATAATGAAGGGCTTAAGCAGCTGGATTAGATAACATATTGCTACAAGTTCGACATTAATTTATTCAACAAGTTGTTATTAATTACAAAGGTACCTTTGAGCTTGTTGGATTCAACTTTAATCTTTAATTTGAGATCAATGTGCAGAACAGTTCGTTTCATTAAACACTCGACAAAATAAAACAAAACCAAAATATTAGTTGCATCACTCTAATAATTAATCAATTATAATATTTCCTCTAATCTAAATAACACAGAAATGAGGTGGGTTAAGCAACGAATCACATGATATGTACACTATTCATTTGGTTAGTCGAGCATTAAAACTTAATATATATACTTATACATTTCAATTACGAGTATAAGTCCACACACGAAGATAAAAACAGTAACATGTCAGTCGGAACTTTGTAATTGTTGAAGTAGAATCAGGTGCAATATTTTGTGTTGCTTACCAAGATATTTGTTACTTACTAAGACTAGCAATTTTTTAGGCAGGATATTTTATTGAAAACCAATTATCAAGGACGACCGGGTCCATTTTCAGACGATCATAAACTACTGATCAAGATCGAACCGGCGCGACTTCCTGATGATTAGGCGAGCACTATAACCACTCAGCTCAGTTACCCATCCGTGTAAGTATAGCTAAGAATCTACCTAAATATACTTACTTACATGTAAGTGTAAACTCCACAGCAACACACTCATTTCTATAGCCCCATTAAACATCTATGTGAATGTATAATCAATGGCATAGGACACTGAGAACGGTCAAACTCTGGAGGAAGAAACTCTAATGTCCATTTGGATTCTGAGAGGACCTCAGTCACCAATGAGTCAATGAGAACATAATGAATATTCATGAAAACCATTATTCCCAGTTCCAGGCTGGGCCTTTCCGAGACCAATATGCATATTTTAAGCTAATTTCTGCTTCTGTTTTGCCAACAAATAAAGTAGTTCTAGCTTTCAACAACATTCACATTTTTTTATTGCAGACTGCTGAATTAATATGGTTGATCTTACATCCAAATTTAAAAGTGTGTGTCTGTTAAATTACGCGCTTCTTATTAGCATTATAGATGAAGGCAAGTTTTGATCAGAGTAATATGTATTGGCATCAATTCAATTGATGAATACTCTCTTTCACAGTGACGATTCGATTACATAAATAGGCAACAAATGACAAACGATCGTTGATATTTTTGATTCCATACTTATTAGAGCTCACTGACCCTCTACAGTTAAATTTAATTTTTCATCAGACCAGTTAGTAAATACTAACACAATGTTCATTTTATTCAACGCATAAGTCGTTCTTGGAACAATACCGATTTCCATTGGCAGAATTATTCGTTGCACCATAACTCATTCAATGTCGAACGCTGAATGGGGAATTAACAATTCGATGCGGGTCAATTATTGATGCGCATAATAGAGATTGATGATCAATTAGCGTGAGGGTCTTATCAGACTGTGCTGTGCAACACAGATAAGACAGACTTGCTGCGCTTCTGCATGCTGCAATATAACCTTGGGCTTGCACGGGTATCAGTATCAGTAACATGCTGCATACTGATGGAAAGACTGCTGTAGAAAACTGCTTGCATTTTATCGAACTACCCATAGAGGGAATATTAGCAAATTACCCATATTAGTTTGTTTGTTTGTTATGGAGGTGGAAAATGCAGCTACGCACAACCTCGGTCTTGGAGGGTAGTGTAGGAACCACATCAACCATCCAACCTGGCATACCCACTAAAAGCACCTCCTCCCTCCACTCAAATGTGTGGGAGGGCAAGGAATAAGCATAAAATCTACTGTTTCCCTGGAGTATGACAGTAACATAATTAAATAACACGATCTTCCCTAACAGGTGTGTAGATATTATAGTAAAATCATTATCTAAGGATCGGCGCAGACGATGTCCACAGGATCGACATTGACTCCCAGGACATGCCGGGACCCTGGACCCTAACGGAGTAAAGCTAGGGAGAAAGCAAGGAGCAAGGACAGAGACAAGGTGATTCCAAAATTGGAAGTTGGTATAAAGAAAGAACCGTTTGTAGCGACTGATAAAGGCTACACAGAACTCAACCTTCTGGAACTCAAGGTCAACTAGATGGTGAACGCGTAACTTCCTTTTATGCAAACTCGACGTACTAGGACCTAGGAGATGGCGACTGCAGGACTTCAGGATGTCTAGGAGATGATCTAAGACCAGCGGAATCTTGTTACTAATTAATTGTGATTTTGACTGGACTTTTTAAACCCAAATATAAGTTGAGGTTGTAGAATGATGTGAGATACCTTGAGTAACATTTTCTAAAGGCTAACCGTGTTTTTTTAGCCAGGATAATTTATTAAAAGCACTTATTACAAAACTACTGACTTTTTGTTAGGATCGAACCGGTGACCATCTGATTATTTGAACTCGGATACTGAGATCAAAACTTTTAAAATGTTATGCAGTCTCTATTCGTTTATATTTTCAAATATATGGTTTCTGTGAGAAGTATACAATTGAGGGTCCTCGGAAAAATAATATTTTATGGTAATAGGTAAGGACTTCCCTGTAGAAAACGTATAAAACTATAAAATAGAATGCATATTATTTATCTTAGTTCAATGCAGTTTGGTGAATTTGAGATTTTAATAATGTCTGATAAACTACTATGGCCTTAGCCCTTTCATTTTCGTTTATCACATTTAACAGGGATTGTGAAACATTATTTGAACTACATAGTTAAACAACTGATTACAGTCGTTATAGATTAGGCAAGAACAGGAAACGTTTAGAACCAATTTTAAACTGAGTAATGAGTATAGGGAACAATGGACCAACAGGAGTAGTGTGTAAAATTAGTATCAAAACATGTCCGTAGAGTAGTAATGTAAAACTTGAGGAAAACCAATGTCAAACTTTTAACGACTTTAATTGATTGACTCTACAACTAGATTATTAATTACATTTATATCAATTAATGACAAATGGTTTAAACCACAAACGCTCTTCCATATAAGTTCCTTTTTCGTTAACATAATTCAAGAGTAATTTATTTACCTATTTTGCCTGAAGGTCTTGTAGTTTGTAGCAACCTACAAACTACAAGACCTTTAGGCAAAATAGCTAAATAAACTATTGTATAATACAGGTCTTGTCACCAGGTTCAAACAACATTGAACTCAAGAGTATTTTTAACACTTTTTATTATAATTATTTCGTAGTAAAGTAAAGTACTAACAACGAACACTCTCGAATATGGTGTATAATCTAGTAAATAAATAAAAAAAACATAGGTTATAGTTTTGGAATATTAAGACATTATTATTATTGCACGGATTTACACTCTGCATTTTTTTAAGGTCGCACATTTAATATAAAAGTTTTAAGGAGTGAAGCAGATTTGAATGGTAACTAAGTGGACGAGTCCTTGAATTATTTCGTCCTCAACTTCAAGGCACGAATTTTAGTTACGCATAATTTGTTTGTAGTTTGCATAATATTATAATCAGAAAGTAGTTGGTACGGGTTGTCTTATAAAGTTGACTGACGGCAAAATGACTTAAACTAAACCCGTGGTGGTATAAACAATAATATGATAATTCAATGTCATATTTGTATAGAGTATACTATAGTGTATAGTGTATAATTGCAAAAAGGTGCAATTTTGATATGCACCCTTATTAATCTTTACATAAACTAAATTGCATCCAATATCATATATTATTACTGAGTGAATCTCAGACTTAATTCAGCAATAATATGTTGAATATTGCGTATAAAATAATTATTTATTCCCTAAGTTAAAATTGCTAAATGCAAAAATGTCAACGGTCCTTCTGATATACATTCCTATTGTTTACATAGCGTAAGCATCTAATACATTCTAACACCCCCATTAAATACCCCTATGTATTTATTGTGTAATATTTCAAGATTAACGTGAATTTGCTTATAACATGTGTATCCAATAATCAGCGATCCAATTTTACGCTGGATATGTATTTAATAGCGGAGTCATTTAAATTTTCATTATGTGGGGATTTCAGAGTCTGAAGATATTCAGCTTTTGGTCAACCCCAGTTAAAGACTACTGTATCCAGCAACGTGAAACAATTTGTTAACTTAAAATGTATTGGAATTGAAAAAAAAACAAACAAAAACAAAATGTTATCTAAATGAAAGCACGATTTTGCGTGTTTATCAAATACTAATAACTAATCCCTACCTTATTTAGATTTATTTAGACCTTATTTATATTATTATGAGTGTTGTAAAAGAAAATTCTGCATACAATTACTCACCAATACATGCATTCTTCGGCGCCTAAGCACTTCAATATACAACGGAGACGGCATTATACTTAGCAAAAGAAGGTCAATTTAACGTTAAGTTTTACTAACGTTTAGTATTTAAAATAGCGGAATTTAATTCCTTGTTAATTGATTTTAAAATCAGAATTTAATTCTTGAATTTTATCATTCCAAATGCTAAATATGACACACGCTCCGTGAGAAGAAGGACCTCGTTTCCTGCGCGGTCAAACATCAACTGAACTAGACACGTCAAACTGAGGCTAATCTTATCTGATAAGGAACCAGAATATCTACAGACTTAGGCATCTGGAAAGACAAGTTGTCACAGTGTTTACTTCGCAATAGAGTGAGTTGGAGAAACGTTTAGATGTGATAGAGGCGAAAATAAAACAATATTCACACCTCTGTAACATGCACTCATGTACTGAGGTACAAGATAGAAAGATGTAGTATATCTTCTTAATTGGCATTTAATCGAATATTAATCAAATATATCAAATTGGTGTATATTATATCAGTATATCCCTACTAAGCTCTTAACTGATATCCAAATATCATTTTTTATCATTGTTTACATAGTATATTATGGTATATTTCATTATCAACATAATTTAATACACCAATGCACACTACTTTAAACGGTTACAATTTTATTTTAGAAAATATAATGAAGAGTGATGCAAAAATTATTTGGTTCACAAAGAAAATATATATTATCACCCACATGTATAATTCTAATGAAAAAGTTAATTAATAAAATACCTAAATTGTTTAAAATATAAGTTCAAGTTTAAATGTACACTTTGACCCAGCTTGGATTCACCGATTGGGTCTGACGGTGATTCAGCCGATCGTCACGTTTAAATTTGTTATGTAAGCCTATATTTACCATCTTGTAAAAGAGTAAGTGTAGATTCACTGGGAAGTAATAGAAGACGATTTTAATATGTTTGTGAAGGAGCACGAGCTATTAAATGGATTTTTCCTATTCTTTCGTAATGTCTTACTTTTTGTAATACCTTGTTGGCCTAAGTTTCTTTGATGTTACTTCATTACAAATGATTATTTATAATTGTTAAAGATTTGTATTGGTAATTATCACTAGTTGTAAAACTATATCTACAGGGTGTCCCGGAACTCTCTCCAATATTTTAGAGCATTGTTCCTGGGTAAGACACATATCTAAATATCATATTTAATTTGTCTGGAAGTCCTTAGTTACTCACACAGCCACCATTTTGTTTGTTCACTTACAAACTTTTGTTCTTTTCACTTATTAATTTGTAAAAAAAAATGGTTATTGGAACTTTGCAGAAACATTCATGACAACTAGACAAAGCTAAAAAAGAATTATGACAAAACAACACGTACACTATTTGATCCCAAATAAAAAGAATAGCCGGAAGTATTCATAGCTAGGCATTCATGAAAATTATTTACTTTTGTTCATTTTGTTAATTCTCATTTCTGGTACCAATTTACATTTATCGAAATGCTGTCACGTTATCTGTTATAACAAGATTTATGTCCGAATGATTGCATTATTATTGATTCATCTGAGGTTACACGCAGCTCTGAGTGCCAAACTTGCTGGGGATATATTCAATATGGTAGTAACCTACTCAATGCTCTAATTATATAAATATTAGAGTGGACTATTCATAGACTTGCATGTCTTAGACTACAACTCTGGACAATTTACTCGAAACTGAGAAATCTGTAAAGTAGCAAAGAAATAATCTGACTCTTTATTATGTAGTCAAAGATAGGTGCCTAATGAATTTAATTTATTTCAATAAAGAAAATCGTCTTTTTTATCCAGAGCACAAGCTACTTGTATGTACTTGAATATATATATTTTAAAATCCCATTATCGGACTATAGGAACAAGGTTTTTTGAGGTAACTATTGAGGTTTTCCATTTTAATACCCAAAACATAATGTTTTGCAATTTCTTTCATTCAAACCATCTTGTAGAGCTAAAAAAACAACGATTTATTATATTGAGGCATTTTGTACGCTTAACATTTACAAACAAAACTCCAAAAACTGTAAATTCAAAATTCATTTTTTATTCCTATGGAGTAGGCTATAAATAAACTGTTGGAGTTTACTTGTTTATGGATATACTTTAATTAATGTGAAAACATTTAGCAAATTTATTTAATTTATACTATAACTATAAAAAACCCCCTTTAATTCACTGTATCAGCAAACCTCAGTACTTGTTAAACCTAATTTTATTTGAATTGGGAATATATCTGAAATTTCAAAGCAAATATTTTAGTGAAAATTGAATAAGGAAATCGGAAGTTCATTAAGTCTGCAGGTTTGCTGCGGTGGCGGTATTTTTTTCTGCCCTTGCTTCAATATTATATTTTCAATGTTTAAAAGCATCATTATGGATTCGAAATACAAATTATTAGCAAGTTTCTGTTACAGTAATATGCATACAGACAAGCACCATCATAAATGATAAAATTAATCGACAACTTCATAAGGTACATTGTTACAATAGATCAAATTATGGTGTCAAGCTAGAATTTGTTTGCATAAACACCTTTCCATAGGTTTCCATAATACTAAGGTACTAAAATGTTTTTATTTTTTGTCGTCATATCCTTTGAGTTTCCTATTAATAAACAGGAGTGTTATTGTATTGTATTTTACTGATGTGTGCAAGCAACATTTCAAAATAAAAAGCTTAGTTAACATAAACATGGAAGCTGGAAGAAATCATGAGTATACTTATACTATATATTGTTATACAAAGTAAGTTCTACAATAGTAAAAGAGATTAGTACTTGTATAATTATCTAGGTAGTACCTTTCAGACGAAAATTCCATAGGTTCTGGTCTGAGATGCTAAATAGTTTTGAGTCATAACTGCTGAAATAAATATAAACTGCTGTATGAGGTAGGGTTGAATTGAGTGGTTGGTACCTCCAAGTTGAGTTGAATTTATAATTTCACTCTTCCTATGTCAACTGATAATCTTTTGTACATTTGTATCGAGTTTTTTATGTGTGAAAAATACTTTTATACACACACACTGTTTACCTTATTGTACTTTATTAAATTGTAGGTTCTTGGATTAAATACAGCTTGTTCAATGAGGGGCATTAATTAAATAGAATCGAACTAATAATCTATTGAGTTGAATTATCGTATTCATTATGACTTTTACTAAATACAACTAGACATTCCATCCCCATGTTAAATTTATTGCAAGTTTTTTAACCAAAATCGTCGTAGTTGATGTGAGCTACCTGATTGTACCTTGATTGTGCTGATCTAAATTACTGATTTCTGTCGGATACACGATCTTTTTTAACAATTCAAACTAATGGAATGACTTATTGTGAGTTATAGCAACTATTATGACCCATAAACTTGGCCAGCACCAAAAATAATGTAGAACATAGAGTTTTATTCACTAGCGCATTTTGTGACTGGCTCACAGAACTACGTTCTTTTTTTTTACAAAAAAATTGCTACAGCTGGTCCATATAGATGGGACGTCTACTTTTCCAATAGTCAATGGTAAAACATATTGTTGTAACAATTATTTGACTGTTCCCTCTGGAGCTATGCGAGTTGATATACTTGGGTGATAACTTATCGTGGGGGCCAAATTTGTTTACTCTGTGAGGTCCCCCCCCCCCGTCTACCACGACATGTGGTCGCTCTCTCGTCATTGGTGTCGTCAAACAGATGGTTTTTACTCCTTACTCAGATTCTCTAGTGAGTAACGTTCATTAATTGTGCTTGTCGAAACTAATAAATATAGAAACTCGACTAGGAAAATATAGAGTTTCGTGTGGAATCACAGTAGGTCATTTAGTAAGCAACCATTTACGGAGTAATATTATAATTTGGAACAATAACACGTACAAAAATGTTTAAACTTCTGTAATTTTGCACAGAAAGCCATCTTAGGGTAATCGTAATTTAATGCAACAGGTAAGTGGTGTAGTTAATTTACATCAAAAGTATGTGTTTTCTTTTGCTACATCGTACGCTTCGTTAACATGGCAAAAACTGATAGATATGCTACTATAAGTCCCCAATAAGTGTATTCTAGAATAACATGAAAGGTTTGACCATTTTCTTTTTGAAAAAAAAAAAAAACGTAAAACCATCACAAAATATTACTGTTACATTATGAGTACATTTTGAATCTAGAGATAATTTAGAGACATTAAATTGTACAGTAAAGATAGTGAACGTAAAGGTGACTCTAATGGTCGAATGACTTGTTAAACTTATATTTCAGATAAATATTTGTTGTTATTCTTAAAAATAACACGAGGGAAGAAGAATCTGTTTTATTGGTTTGTTAATTGAAATAAGGTAAGGTCCATCCAGTATGACATTTTGGAACTAACTTCGAATTTGCATGCCAAAGTAAACTTTATTAAATATTGTAAGAAAATTAAATTTTTATTCCTCCAGTTACTACATTGCTTTCGTCCCTATGGGAAAATCTCAAGAATAATATGCATGTTTGACAATTTAATAGCACACATTTCATTTCTAGATGACTGTTGTTGATCTACCTTTATTGTGTGCTAAAGTAAAGTTTACATATTTAAATTTGTTTTTGGTACAATACTTAGAAAATCGTGTCGATAATTTTGAATTCCTAAAACACAATAAAAAGTTGGAAACCAAATCCACCCCATTATATTTCTTCTTTTGGTTCTTTAAACGATGTTTTAACTTCGTATTGTTGGCCATTTGTTATAGAGACTGTAGCCTACAAAAATGTGATTAATGTTCTCAAATGTTCCATAACTAATTTACTAAATATGATCCATTTTTTAACATTTTATTGAACACATTTGTTAGAAGCCAATGATAACACTCCGTTGTTGTAAACGTCTCCTTGTGCACAATGTAATCACTGCTGTTTCAACTAACTTACTCATAACAATAGTCAACGATAAGTATGAATCATGTAGTTACTGTTCTGAAAATACTTAGCAATTCGAATTTTTTCTCGTGAAAAGGTGTATTGTAAAACAAGTCATTATAGCAGCATTCATACTTAATGAGGCTATAGACTACATTTCACAGTTTCATTAAAAAAAGTCAAAATTGACAACATAATTTTTAAAATCGAATGGTGTTTTAAGATTTCAATACGGTAAAATAAGGCAATAGGTAAGAATTTGATTCCTTTTGTATAAATTTATTTTTTTCTAGC